TCAATAAATCCATTAAATGCATCAATTTAAATAAATAAATAAAATTTTAATTCATAATCAATAAATTCTCATAAATGCATCAACTTAGATAAATAAATAATTATAATTTTATTTCATAATCAATAAATTCGACAAATGCATTAATTTAAATAAATAAATTTAATTTTAATCCATAACCAATAAAGTGACATAAACGAATCAAATCAAATAAATAAACAATTTTGGTTTTAATTAATAAACAATAAATTTATATAGCTACATCAATTGAAATAAATAAATAATTTTAATTTTAATACGTAACCAATAAATCCACTAAATATACCAATTGATATAAATAAATAAGTAAATAAATAATTTGAATCTTAATGTATAAACAATCAATTGACTAAATGATCGATCGAAATAAATAAATAATTTTGATTTTAATTCATAAACCAATAAATCCACTAAATACATCAAATTATGTAAAAAAAATCTTTTATTAAATGAATGTTTATTGTGTCTGGCTTAATCGTTGTTGTTGTCTAAAATAAAAATAAATAATTGATTTAAAGTATAAAAATGCTTACTTTATTTGGATCTACTGTGGTTATCATCTAAAATAAAAATAATGGATAATTTAAATTAAATCAATACTTGCTTTGATTGAACCAATTGTTCATATGATCTAAAATAAAATAAAAGATAATTCAATTAAAATAAATACTATAAATCAACACTATTATATAAGTTTACCTTCAGTTTGAATTGTAAAACTTTCAAATGTTTTACTGTTATCCCTATTCAAATAATTTGAATTATTGCTGGATGTTAATTCTTGCTCTTGAACAATTGCTTTTGACGTAAAAAATGCACTATTATTTACATCTTGTAAATATTCACCGTGTAAATATGGATCATAATTTGTGATAATGGAACTACCTGTTCCATTTGTATTATTGTACAAAGTACTAATTGAATCATTCCATTTAAATTCATCATTTTCTTCTTCAACTGTGAAATGGTTAGCTGTTGTAGTGAAACCTTCAACAATATTATTTGCTAAATCAGTATGATATTTGTAATTTTTACATTGTAAATCTAATCTTTTCTTCTTTCTCTGACGACCTATCTCTATCAAATCATTGATTCTCTTTTGTTGATTCATTTTAATAAAAATTTACTAATCACATCTACACCTGACAAGAAAATCAAAGTAATAAAGACAATATAGACTTATTTAACAATGATGTACGCAATTTACTTTCGTACATCATAGAATAGATAAAATAGACTAAAAACACCGACGAGAAGATTCTTCGTCATTTTATAAGAAGACGTCGGTGAATGTGTCGGATATTAGGAAAGAGAAAAAATAAGATAAAGTAAGAATCGATTCCTTATTGTTTCTGATGATATACGTACAATGTCTTTATCTGTTCTCCTATCTTTTATGTACTTGGAGTGCAAAAATAACTTATTCGACATTACTATCTAAAACAACAATAAATTTGATTGGTCAAACTGATTTAACAAGTGGTGTAACTTTTTACCAGATAGACACTAATATATAGAAGATGTATTTTCAAAACTAAAGGATGCATCATTTAAATTAGAACGTATTTAATCGCTTAAGAATTTATTTAAATACATGAAACTATCGTTATAAAAATTATTTACACAAGACAAACTTATTATTATGATCTTACACGATCGTATAAGATCTGATCATCAGATTTTATAAAAAATCTTACTGTAAGATTCTTACAAAATCTGATGATCAGATCTTATGCGATCGTACAAGGTCTCATACGATCTGATCATCAGATTTTGTAAGAATCTTACAGTAAGATTTTTGTACGATTCTGTAAGATCATACCAAGGGGGAACCAGCAGAGACTTCAGCCGTGAAGTCTCATGAAGTCTTGTAAGTCTTTTGAAGTCTTCTGAAGTCTCTTGAAGTCTTTTGAAGTCTTATGAATTATCATAAAGTCTCATAAAGTCTCTTGAAGTCTCTTGAAGTCTCATGAAATCTAATGAAGTCTCATGAATTCTTTTGAAAGTTTTGAAATACATTTAGTGCATGAAAACTCATAAGAAACCAATGAAATTGTCTTGTTTTCGACGATTTTATTTTAGCAGAAAGGTGAACTATTTATTGTTTTTTTTTCAATGTGCTGGAAAAAATTCAAGCTTGTTTGGTCTTAGTAAACGTAATAGTTAATAACTGAATCTTTTTGAATGAAGTGTTTTATTTTTATAAGAAATGTTTTATCTATCCAAATCAATCTGATGAAGAATTTTAATCCTTTTTGTTTGTTTCTATCACTCGTGATAATCTATCAGCCGATAAACGGCTAGCTTTGTCAGTTAATAACCAACAAGCCGTTTGCTTGTGTATAAATTTAGTCTTGTTATTTATTTGCACTTGAAAATAGGAGTTTTTCATTGCTGGATTGATCGAATCAAATATACGCATACCAGTAAAATTTATTTTCTCAGTTTTAATTTCATCAACACTTTGTGTCGTTGCCGCATCTTTATCTTCTTCATCCACATTGATTAGATCACTATTAAACTCATTACTTTCCATTGTTTCATCATCATAATCAGATTCAGAATCTGATGAAGAATCTGCATCCGTTGCCGAATAAGTATCCGAATTAATGTTGAATCTAATACTATCAAATATATTTTTACTTAAACTATTAAGTTCACAAGTATTGCATTTCTTTAATGAAGGTAATATATTCAAATTACTAACTAGTTCTTTTGCACGATTAAATGCAGCTAAAATAATATTTTCACCATTATTTAATCCTCGTTGCTAAGGGCTGTAATTGGGGGGGAGGGGGGGGGGGGGGGGGGGTATGTCTGTAATGTTCTCTTTCTCCGTTGCTAAGTGTCTATAATGGGGTGGGGGGAAAGAGAGCCATCAAACCTCGAACTGAAAACGTACACTCACTATTTTCTTCGAAAATATACGTGAGTTCCACAAAACAGACTTTTGGGAGCAATCAATTTTCAATATCATTCCTGTTCGTGGTTCTCGGAAGACACTAGTTACTCTGTTATGAATAAGGGTGTCAATTTATATTTACTTTCCATTTAATTTACGCGTAAATTAAATGATAAATAATTTATATTTATTATAAAGTAAACGGTAAATGACATCCCTACTATTTGATAAGTTTTGTTTTTTTGCATGTTATAGAGGTTTCATGTAATTTCTATAAGATTTTTTGATACGCGTGGAATCTGCCTCTTGAAGTTCTATGAAGTCTTGTGAAGTCTTGTGAAGTCTTGTGAAGTTTTGTGAAGTCTTGTGAAGTTTTATAAAGTCTTGTGAAGTCTTATGAAGTCTCATAAAGTCTCAAGAAGTCCTACAAAGTCTCTGAAGTCTCATGAAATCCGTGAAGTCTCATGAAGTTCTTGAAGTCTGTGAAGTCTAGCGAAGTCTTTGAAAGTTTTTTGAAGTCCTCTGAAGTCCCATGAAGTCATACGAAGTCTTATGAAGTCTTGCGAAGTCATTTGAAGTCCTATGAAGTCTTCAGAAGTCTTTAGAAGTCTTTCGAAGTCTTGTGAAAAGATGAAGTCACAGCGGATGAAGTCTGTTGAAGTCTGTTGAAGTCTGTTGAAGTCTTTTGAAGTCTTGAAGTCTTGAAGTCCGCTGTTTCCCCCTTGGATCATACAGTATGAATCTTACGATATCCGATGTAGGTATGCACCAGTTCCAGTCATGACTGGTACCCAGTCATGACTGGGTCATCAATCATCTGATCTTTAGTTTATTAGATGAATAATACTTCCCTCTTGTTTGTCACATTATAATAAACTGATATGAATCTATTAAAGACCTAATACGAGCTATATCATAGTATTAATTGATTATTCTTGTGTCACTATGTGCCAACTCTTGTCATATACGGTATTATAAAATAATTTCAGATGAATTAGTTCTGTCCATATAACTGAGGATGGGTAGTTTTTCTCTCCGTCGCATATTTAAACATCGAAGGTTGAAAATTTTATCAAAAAAAGTGCACTGTTCGACTCTTCATGAATTTAAAGTCGTGAGTTGACTACAGATACTATGTGATTTTAGTATAGTCATTAATGTAAATTAATAGATCGAGGACAGTTTCATATCAGTTCCGCTCTTGAGAACTGTTCGAACAGTTCTTTGATAGGAACTGATCTGTCCAACCAGTTCTTTTAAAAGAACTGATCTGTGCCTACCAGTTCTTTGATAGAAACTGATCTGTTCAACCAGTTCTTTGAAAATGGTCACAATAGTCAGTTTTTGAAAAAGAATCGGACGCTTAATTCAGTTCTTTGAAAAAGAACTGGTTATTATAACCAGTTCTCGAAAAGGAACTGGTCAAAATAGCCAGTTCTCGAAAAGAACTGGTCACTTTGCCCAGTTCTTGACGAAGAACTGGTCACTTTACCCAGTTCTTGAAAAAGAACCAGACGCTTAATCCAGTTCTTTGAAAAAGAACTGGTTACAATAGCCAGTTCTCGAAAAAGAACTGCCGGGTGTACACAGTTCTCGCCAAAGAACTGGTCACTTTAACCAGTTCTCGAAAAAGAACTGGTCGCTATACCCAGTTCTTAGAAAATATAAAGTTCATAGAACTGGGGACTGTCCTAGGTCTATAAATTAAAATTATGCTTCAAACACACTCAATTTATCCTGTTCGTGTATAATATAACAGCCAGCTTGACGGGTGTGGATGTGGGTGTAGGTCTTCTCTTCATTTACACTCACACCCCACCCTAATAAAGTATAATAAAGAATTAAATATAATCAACAATATCATATCATTCATTAATAATGCATTTTAATGCGTTAAATATAATAGACAATATCATAACATTGAATAATAATGTATTATAATGCATTCAAAACCAATGATCAGAAAACAAAAAGAAGAACGCGCGGCTAGATAATGATACAATTATTAATGATATCTGACGCGTGAAATAATTGTTTTTTACGAATAAACAATCTGTATAGGGGTGTGATTAGGGATGCAACGGTGACGATAACCGTAGGTACGGTTACCGGTTCAAAGCATTCCCGATAAAAACAGCATTTGTTAAGA